AACGTGTTAATTCGAGCCGAAATTAATTTCGGCTATGACATAAACGTATTTATTATATAATACATAAACATGAATCAAATTGGAACATACCGGGGATTCAAGTAACAATATCCGTAGGACTTCCAAAACGCTCTCAATAGTCTCAATCGAACGAAATTAATTATTACTATAGATGAAACTAGGATGAGGTGCAAAATGAACGATAATAAGCTCGTTGATTGGAATTAATATTTGATATTCAAGGAAGCAAATATCCAGGATTTTTATTCCGCGGGAAATATTAAATATCACGTCGGCTCTATGTATCGTCGTGTTAATATCTTTCGAAACGCAATCATTTCCTATAATTGTAATAATTAGCAATGAACCGCGTGATTAATTAACTCTCGAGTTTAATGATTCATAAGCGCATCCATATAGGCGACTGTTTAAGTAGATATTTCATATGATTTATTCATTTAAAGTACTTAGGGATCGAAACGATAATGGCGAATCGGAATTATAAATTATCGTTTTATCGCGATACTTACAAGCGATAATTATTCCTTTAACGATGCATGAAATATATTCCGTGCTGTGCTTTAAATTTATTGCCGGGTTTGAGTGTAATCTGCTTATCATTTTCGGATTGAATCGCCGAATCGAATTCAAGCCGTATATCAACCGTTTTTCAATAATATATGTATTTCACGGTATTTATTTGCAAATGTATTGTAAGTGCCATGCTAAATTTTGATTAATTTTTTTCGATCACTCCTATCTTAATTATTAATTAATTCATTAGCGAAACGTCGCTGTTATGGAACGAATCGACTCCAAGTTGTATAGCGTCGCGTTTAATTAGTGAGTACTGTCATAATTAATCTCGTATTTTAATATTTATCAATTGCGTAGCATAATCCCGTTTATATGTCGATGATTTATTAAAAAGGGAAATTTCGATAAATTTGTTCAATCAATATAATCCATCGGGCGAGCAAAGCAACGCGCGCGACCACATTCTCATTTATATGTTCTAGATATTATATTTCGCGAGTATTTATCTCTAGTTTTAACTCGTATATTTAACCATTTATAATACAGTATTACAATGCGCAAAATAGTAATTACTTTAAAACGCAAGTGTATACTACTTGTTATGCAACATGCGAAAAGTTCGTTAGAAATATTATTTTTTTGAGAATATTCATTTTGAAACTCTCGCAAATACATTTCCCTTTTTTTCATCGAACTTCGTCTTTTCCATTTACGAAATCATATAGACATTTCATTTTCTCGCTCCGAGAAAATTTAATGTTCATAAAAATGCCATAACTTCGAAATCATATTTATTTATATGTGTTTCTCACCGTATTATATCATAGTTTATATCTTGTAAGCTTAAATTTATAGTTTAGACGCATCCCTTTAGAGCCAATCATACATAATTTCAAAGTTAAGTTCGCGTACCTACGTACCTACGTAAAAGTTTCTCGCAGTTGAGTAAATTTATCGAGAGTCGTTTTCAGAGAGGAGAACTCTCAACTCTCAGTTACCTCTTACACATTTATCATACGCTACATCATAATGATTCAGTGGATGGAATAAGAGATTTGAAAGACCGCGTAGATGAAACAAACGAAACATATAATCCCTGTTATAAGTAAAAATATTCGGAGAGTACATAAATTCCGACCTCAACGTGCATAGTATTTGTCATTCGGGCGATTTAAGTCAGTGTTTCTCAAACTTCGCAAGAGTAATGCCTACTCTTTTCTCTATAAGTGACATAATATAATTGTGTCAATTTAATACGGTTAATTAAATTCGACTGCAAATCTAATAATAAAAAGTGATTATATATATGGCGATGATAAAATTAAAAGAACTAGTATTGTAATCACGTGAACGCAAGTAAAATAAATTGTATCAATAGAGCCCCCCCCCCCCCCCCCCGCGTGTCATCATAGTAACCGAAGTTCTACAAGATGTAGGGGTTGAAATTAATCGACCGAGACAGAATTAATCGACGTACTACGGATTTATTCTCGCGTAACACCATTTGAGAAGCACTGAATTAGATGACCGCGAGTAGCTGCCGCGCATAGTTTCGGGTTCCCGAACGCACTCTCGCCCCGATAAGGGGATGCAGATTTGTGGAATCGGGCGAGGGGGATCAAACGCGGGGGTTCGCCGCGCGATTCTGGTCGGACGGTGACAGCCGGGGCGTAGGAGTGTCGGGACGTGAATAGAATTGCGAGCGAATCGGCCGCATATTCCCGCCGTTTACATTTATATTCCGCACGAGCCGTGCGGCGACCGTGCGGTCGATCCGTCGTAAGCCGACCGCCGGAGTGTATTTGCAAAGGTTCTTCCGTTCGTCTCCTTCCCCTCCCCGCCCCACCGTATCCCTTCGCTGCCTCTGAATAGCCTCCTGTGTCTTGTCGCGATTCGCGACCGCCGACAAAATCGTCACGTCTGACGCGGCTCAAATCGCTTTAACTCCCTCTCGGATCCATTTTTCATACTCCCGTTTCGCTGTCTCTATTGACTGACGCGATCTGGATTTCGCCAGATCAAACGGCGGCGGGGGTGAAGTGTGGCGAACGGTGGGTAGGGGGAGGAGAGGGTATCGATACCCTTTGAAACAAAATTTGCTTCCGGACAAAGTTAGAATTTTTAGTGCGAGTCTATACCTGTGCATTAAAGCTGGCCTTTCGATCCTTTGATTCCCTTTGCCCGCGATAGGGTTTGTTATCAATCGCTTTTCGCGTGATGAAAGGGACTGTCAAGAAAGTGTGCGTATGTGTGTATGTGTGTGTGTGTGTGAGCGCGCGTGTGTACTTTTTCGGGATATAACGAATTTGCCAGACTGGTCAATTTATATTAGGATCTGTACGCTGGCATATCTCTATTCACCGCGGTAAATGTCAATAGCGGATTCTCTGATAGATTCGATAAATTTGTAGTCTCGATTTAATGAAAATTCCATGGTAGATCGTTATCTCCATTGCAGCTTTCTAATTTTCGACATTAAATATATCGTGACTCGATTGCGCAATAGTCTGATTGAAAAACGTAATATGAAAACTTAATGCCTTAATGGTAGCGAGCCCGTATGTATTAACAATTAGGTAAATGTCAATGGCGTTTAATTAATCACCTTGCTGGATGGGTGCATGATCGTTCGCTATTAAAGCGTGGCCGATTGTATTCGCACGATATGCACCGTGCAGTTTCCTATAAACTGGAATATAAATGCTAGATGGGGAGGAGGAGGCAGGGAGGAAACAACGCGTGCGTGTGCAATAACGGTATGCAAAACCGGCTGGTTTTAGTACAGCTTATCATGAACGAATGCTGTATATTTGTATATAGGCGATCAAAATTCGCTTATCGTTGCATTCGTGCGAATTCGCGTGAAATACACGACGAGGGAGTATCGATCATCGGCCAGAGGTCGGCCCGAGTGCGTTCTTTACTTACGTATCCTATACCGTGACCATTCGCTTCTTACACCGCCATTAGCCCGAGAACGAGACGTTAATTAGGAAAGTGTCGGGCGTAACGGCGAAGAAAAATGCTCGCGGCTATGAATTCAAAGACCATCCGTATACCCCTTTAACTTCTCGACGAAGGTAAAGGCGCGTACGACGTGCCTTTAATTAAGCAATTTCACAACGTCGAATGTTAATGTCTCTATCATTTAGGGCGATGGAGAAGAGCTCGGACGTGCCACTGGACGTATAAAGCGAGTGCATGACAGCGAGTAGAAGTAAAATAAAATACGGAACGAGGGTGCGAAGAGGAGCTCGGGACCTCGAGCGAATTACGAATAATTTGATGTCATTAATTAGACAGGTTAATAATTATGCGGATCGCACTATTTTTGTTTGAATAATCAAGAATCGTATGAACCGCAAACCATGCGTGCATATTGTCGTGAAATTATTCAACGTCAATTTGAATACAACTAATTATTACGGATCATTAAACAGATATTACCGATTAGTCATGGTCGATTTATTATTCATCTTTTTTATTTATTATTTATCGCTCTATATATAGATAGAGGGAAATTCCGGTCATCTCTCCGCGCGCGGCGCGAAACTCCGGTTACGTTTTCCCGTACAAACGTCCTTTTAATATCCCCAGGGCGTTAAGGGCGTGTGTCGTATTTCTCGCGCATTCCTTCCGCAAAATAAGAAAATACCAAGAACGAGTTGAAAGTCCAGCGCGCGTTATTCCGTCTCCCCTTTTACGAATGGCAGAATGTCACGCGGAGCGCAGAATGTCCATACAAAGTTATGCGACAGCAAGAATGGTCGTTGCAACATTACAAAACGTTAATCCGTCCCGAGGGCGAGTGGATTGCGAACGGCTAGCCTAATTTACGACGTCGACGGACACGATTATGTCTCACGCTTTTGCCGCTAACGCTCGCATAATGCAATGCGACAGGCTCGCGTCTGCTTTTTGATATATTGCGCGCACAGTGTATCGCACGACGAATCGTAGCGTTTGCGAAATAATGTGTATCCCCGATGTGTATATACCCCATGCGTATATGTACCGCGAATACATTGAACTATGTAAAAGCACGGTAATAACGACGTGCGTACCGATTATCTCGCGGGCAGGATTATCATTCTGGTAATATTCGACATGACCCCAAGCCGTACAACCGGAATTCCATTAAACGAAAACGCATGGGTATTCAGGCTACCGTGGTATTCAAGTTATTAGATTTCTACTATGAATTTCTACGATGAAGCGCTCACATGCTTTTTGTTTTCCAAACGCTGCCATTTATTACAGTTACAATATATACATTTTCCGGGAAAATTGCAAATTCGGGTGATCCTGTTGTCACTCGCCAAGTTACGTATGTACACGGGAACTAACGACAAATATCTTGAATTTTTAATGAACGTATTCTGTACCCCGACGCGACATAAGCGCGAAAATCAACGCGAATTTCGTTGGGTATACACAGTTCTCGCCTACGCTTATTTGCTGCTTCATCGTTTGAGCGCAGTTCTCAATCTCTTGAAGGTAGGTTTCGGGTAGGTCTTCGGTTGGGCGAGACTTTTCAGACGCTTGGAGCATCTCGCCTTTAACGCTGCCGGCGACACGGTGAAGGCATCCTCTCGAAGATCCGTTTCTCTGCCCGCCGGACGCTGGGCGGGCTTCGCCAGAGCGATTATTCTCTCGGAAGCTACGGCATTAAACGTTATACCGTACGCTGTATGGTCTCAATCCTATCCATTAACATCGGTTTTCCGCCGGCTTATTCTTATCAACGGGCTTAAGGACGCGAAGACTAACTGCCCCGCGCTATGAAACAAATTATTTCGCGTGGCTTTCTAACGGCGACTATAATCTCTCTCAAATTTCATTTTACATACAAACCGCAGCCGTGTGATATTTGTTTGATTAGTTGGTTGGCAGCTTTGTTGCATGACTATGTGCATAACGGCAATATGGATTAAATTTCTAAACATGCGGTGTGTTTATGCCAGCGTCAATTAACTCAATCGCGATTATGAACATTCATAAATAAATAAATTTCTAATGAGGTAAAAGACTTAGAGGGAGGAAGAGAGAGAGAGAGAGAGAGAGAGAGAGAGAGAGAGAGAGAGAAAATGTTGTGTTACATTGAAATTATCTCGGCTAAAAATATTTCACGAAATGACTTGAATTTCGTATAATACACCTTGTTATTTTTGTGTTCTCTAAAGGCTAGAGAATCATCTGTCAAAATTGAGATAATATAACCGCGCGTGTGGAAAATTCTTTTCAAAATATTAACTACGGCTAAAAATTTGTTTAATATTTGATATTTTAATCTTCTCTCGTCTCTCGGGAAAAGTGGAATGTATATTTTGATTTACGTCTTTTACTTCATAGAACGCCGCACAGCACACGTGAGATATATTGTAAAAGTTCCGAGCGATCGTTTCACTATGCACCCGTATCTCGTATTTTATTACAGACGGATTTCAATGGGAAAAAATGTTGCGCTCGGTCGCTAACTCGTCGCGCGCGATTATACGCGAAAATTAAAACTGGTCGATTCTCTTCCGAGAGGCTTGTGCATCGCGCGCCTTTCCATTATCGCCGTAGAACTCGATGCACTTGCACGTTTTGTATCAAGCAACGTTTCACGCGCGAAATTAAATTCCACGCCAGCGACGAAGGACGTCGGTTATGCTTGACGACAGCCCAAAGAGAAACTTGAGGAAGCATCTCCTTAGGAATATGTTGAGCAGAGAAAGTTAGATGTGACGGACGGCGCAGCGTGCGAAATGACAGTTGAGTAATTCTACGGCGCGAAAGAGAGAGGAGAGAGAGAAAGGGAGGGAAAGAGAGAGAACTTTGGTTACCGTCCATACACAGATTTTACCCGACAACCGACTTTTGAATTACTTAAGACCCGTTTGTTTACATTCATTTCTGCCACAGCCCTTGCGCTGTGACGACGGCTCAAAGGAAAATTAATCTACTGTCGCACGGCCGACCATCGATCGATAGTGGAAGAAGACGTCGTTTAATCAGACGCGGCTGAGTAACCGTGCGGCAGGACACGATATATGTATAGACGAAGCGAAAACTGAAATAGTTGAATTGTGCGAAAGATAGACGGATAGATGTAATTTATTTCGTATCTTGGGATTTGAGTCCTCTCTCGCTCTCGGGACAGGGTATAACTACAACAGCAAAAAATCAACATAAACAAAAGAGAATAAATCATGGTAACAAATATCCAATGTGCATGGAAATAAAAAAAAATTCCACGTGAAAATTCAATAAGAGAATAGTTAATAAAAATACCGAAATAAAAACAAGACTAATATAAAAATGAAATGTGTAATAAAATGTACGACAGAGATACACACATGCACACACGTACACAGAGAGAGATTACACTCGCGTAGAAGTGCGTAAGTGACGTTTAAAAAAATTATCGAGCTATAAGAGATAGCATCCGAAAATAAACGACGATGTCATTGCAAGCGACGTTTTCATTAAATAATTACAATACCGATGAGGGAGTGCCGCTAACATTACGGTAGGAAATAGCGCTGCGGGCAGGATATAGTCTGCAGCAAACAGTACGGTAAGCATAACGCGGCATTGCTGGCAGATCGGCAACAAAACACGTTTCGTGTGCCGCGGGCTTAATGTGTAGATCGTGTCCCGTTTATCTCTCCTGTGTCCAAATCAAACGCTACAAAATCGTTACCTCGCAGTTATGGTTGAACGGAAAGATAACGCGAATTCTGCATTATATCACGAGTTCGGTGATATCCGAAACTAATAGTGGGAATATTCGATGTCGATCGATTACCGGAGGTGTATACGCCATCACGCGCGAGAAATTCTATTAATTCCATAAATTTTTGTCGAATCTCCGTTCAATTAACGCTCCCGCATAAAAAAAATATTTTTCACCCGTCGACCCGTTGCCAAAACCGTAAACCAGCCGAGATTTATTTTTCATTGATGCTGGATGGATGCTGAAAGGTGTACATTTGTTGGGATTGTTATCAATATATAGACCATTTTTATTTTTATTTCGCAATATGTGAAATATCCTTGCGGAACCTCGATAACCTTGCGAACCGCATAAGCTATTGAACAGTCGCAACCACCGACGAGTAAATCCGTCGTCTTTCTCGATGTAGCAGGGTGGTGGGATCGATGAAATCACGGATCTGCTACGTAGGGTGTCTCAGAATCACCGAGATACGGTACCGACGCGATCCTCCGTTAGGCACAAATGAAGAAAAATAACAGTTACTTTAATAATAAAATGCCCACTATAGAGTGTTGACATTTAAAAATCTGTTCTTCAATTAATTTCAGTTAATTTCACGGAGACATAAATATAACGGCATTTTAATTCAACGCTCGATTTTCAGCCCAAGTATTCCCGTTGAAATTTATATTTAAAAATTCCTAACGAATAACGTGACTTCTCTCATGAAACGCTCATCAAGGAAAAATTTAGCCAGAGTTCGCATTCAATCTCGACGGGACGATGTTTGCTGGGACACCCCGCGTATGAGCTTACTTACGACATCCAATAGCTTGTAATAGTATTGGTGCGGGGAACCGATATATAGGCAAACGGGAACGTTGCTTCCTTCGGATCGATGGCAACGCGTATCGAGCAGAGAAATCGAAGCGGGAGAATCGTAACGGCGAGGCGACGAGGCGAATGATAATAATTGTAATAGCAATGACGAGATATGTGTGTGTGTACGTGTTACTACCAATAGCTTTCGTCGCGGCGGGCGAAACGGCGCCTGGTATTCGCAGTGGGATCTCCGGATCTTTCTTTCGAGTCGCGAGTTTCTCCACTCGCTTGGTGATGCGATAGGTAAGCGCGCGCGGTGACACCTCGAAAGGGTCCCTCAGCCTGGGCTCGTGCTTGATCGTTGGTAACGCTAAGAAGTACACTCGCTCCAAGTTGACCGGCCTCCACTTCTTCTTCCTCGTACCCTGAAAATATCGGAGCGCGCGATCGATCGATCGAGCGAACGGTCTCGTCGTCGGAATCGGCGACGCGTCGAACATTTTTATCTAGATCGTTTAATATTGATTTATGAGAGAACGACGTCGCTTACGGGTTTCCTTCTTTTAGGTTTCGCAGCGACTTTGGGCGCAGCCCATTTAATGTACTTTTGCCAGTCTTCCGGTTTTGTGAGAGCTCTGCGCAGTTTCGCCATTCGTTTTCTCCTGGGTAGATATGAGAGTTGGGCATTTTATCGCGAGAATTTGGGTTTGAAGATGCTTTACTGAGGAAAAATCTTCCGGAGATTGATTAACGTGGCTTCCATCAGTGGCTTAAGAGGACTTACACATCACTAGCGGTTTCGCGATTTATCAATTCATGTCGGTTATACAAATTACGGAGATCGAAATAATAGAAATGTTATCAGCATCCGTGCTTATCGCTTGCAATCGCAAGAATTCTTACGTTTCTCCAAGAGTTAGATAAGTTCAGTAACTTTGAAAGTGATAGAGATATTTCTGATATGACTTTAGAGATCGTTAACCACTGATGGAAAATTAAAGAATCTGTAAAAGTGAAAAATGTGGTAATTGTGGCGGATTGTGGTGAAATGTCCCATATATGATATCGCGGTCTATCACAGAGAACTATTAAATTGATGTTTCTGATTGTAACCTGATCAATGATTGTAACCAATGCAATAAATGCCCAGGGTTAGCTCAATCTCTCACATTTTATTTTGTACTATATTAATAATTACTTCCGATGCAATATGTCAGATGACCTTTCGTTAATTAAACGTACAATTTGCATCCAGTTCCCAGCGCGATCAATACAGAAGGGTTTATAAGCTTACGTTTTGTTACTTGTCCGCCGGTATTGTTGCGGCTTTATGAAATCGAGCTAATTATTTAACGGGTAATTAATATCGTGAATATCTATCCATATAGTTTAAATATTAGCGAAAGGTTCATCTGACATCGCAGCAGTTTATGTCCGGAATTCTATTTCACCGAAATCCACGACGTTCCCGAGACTGAACGTGCAATAAAAAAAAAAGAAAAGAAAAAAGGATAAGAATTAAAGGGACTTCGATACTCGACATCTCGGCTGTTTAGTATTGCAATATCCGCGGCGAGTAAAATAGCTGCGATGTTTTCCGTATCCCTCTCGTTTATCGCTGGAAATCGGTTACTCGTGTGAGTATGGCGGAGAGATTGTGTACCCGGGGATGCGCGTGTCGTTTATAGAGAAAAAGTGACATGATGTTGGGAAATGTATCGGCCTTACTTTTTCCTCGCTTCTCGTTCTTGACGCGCGTTACAGAATACGCGATACCGCTGGTACCGCGACTTTCGAACCTTCACCAGCAGATCGTTCACGGTTGCCTTCATGTTTTTGGTAGTTGCCAATTTCATCGTCTCCAGTAGAAGTCTAACGTTTAAGAAGGTATCGCTTTTAAGTCATCGTATATATATATCATCGATCAAGTCATAGCTATCAATTTTCCGACGCTACCGAAAGTGCGAATAATGTTAAAGTTGCGAAAATAATGCTCATATTTTTATTTTTAAATAACTTGACCTAAAAGTGGAAAAATAATATACGAGTATCTTAAAGTGTTCCAATATCTCGCAACCTTTTTCTATAATATTAATCTGAGATTTATTTTCAACTCAAGTTTCTTATCGAGACCGTCTTCAGCATCGAGGAAATAGATGTGCACCTTCTCTTGGGTAATGCCAGATCGACGATACGCTTGCTGCTCCTCGCCGCGAGCGTCTTCGGGTGAATGCGCGGGTAAGGGGGCGGCACCGCTCTGCGCGATAATAAATTTTCTAGAGGACTCGCGATAACCTGACGAGTACAAGAGCGGACGACTGTGCACTTACGCGGGATCGTATTTCTTGGTTACGAATTTCGGTTGCGCCATAACCCGGATGCGCCTCGAGGCGCGGCTCCTGCGAACCGCGCGCGGAACTGTAAAAGGACGCGCCTGAAAATATATATATATATATATGTACACGTCGATATAAGTAACCGAGGAAAGACACAAAGGCTTTAGTAAGGAGTGCGCGCGAACGCCGCTCGAGCATCTGCTCCATCGATCGTTTTCAACTGAACGTTTTTCCGCGGAAGAACGTTCTCCCCGTCTCTCATAACGACTGTTTGATTTCATGGAGGATATCTCAACTTATATTTAACGTCCTTAAATATTCGGAGCAGGTGACGTCTCATTTTCTTATTTCGTTTCAATCCCAATTGCGAAATCAGAATTTACTTAGAAGGAAGCCGCTGCCCTGGCATTAAAGACACACAATCTCGATTCCGTTAATGAAATCCCAGAGCGGCGGACAAAGACACGCGTAATACTATCGGAAAGTGTACTCCAATCTCTTCCGATATATATTACAAGAAATAATAAAATTTCACTGAATAAATGTAAATATAAACGAAAGAATATTATCATAAAAATAGGCGTATATACCAGGACATTCGGATCAGTTCTGCGATATCTTCTCCAGTTGGGACGCGCTAATAGCGCGATGTGTTCCTTGCGCGATAAATGAGCCAGAACGTATTTAATTCTTTGCGAAGGCATCTTATCGCCGCTGCTCTTTTTCGCTCGTCGTTTCCGTCGGATTTTCCCGGCGCTCAACGCAATGATGAGCAAGCGTTTCCGGTATGCTTATTATTAAATTATACTCGCGCCGCTTTAACGATCCCCGAGCGGAAAAACAATGCATTTAACAGAGACCCGCGGGAGAAATGTACCGAAAATTAGCTCGACACACTTTCGCGGCTAACACTGTAATTTTTTCGCCACCATTGAGGCGCGTGGATATTCTACGAGAAAATTTTGTGGGTTTCGGACAGCGCGTGACAGAGGGATTGGGGATGAACAAAATACGAGCGGGTCGAACGAGCTCGAATTTTATTTCACATCGCAGTTTTCAAGGTTGTTGGCGTTTAACGCAGGTCTCTCACGTATGTATATTCTTCTAAAAGCGTTCTACGATGAATATATCACCAAGCTGAGGACCGCGGGAGTCGCATCACCGCGGATAACGTGTATAACTACGTGACAATGTTCTAACTCTGCATGACAACGCAGTAAAATTCGTCGCATAAACGCGCTCGCGCATTTGCATTCGCCGAATATCTGACAAACTCCAAATCACCAGAGAAATCTGCCGTAATAAAGTTCCGTCGGTGTGTATGACAAATTAACTGACGCGTCAGTGATTTTCGCGTGAAATATAGAATCGCGAAAATATAACGCGCGCTTTCACGGCGCGCAATTGAATAAAAAACTCGTTTCCCTCGGTCACCACTTAAAAATGCATGCGAGAAGATTGGAGAAACAAAGTCGGCTAACCGCGCGCGTACCATTATGCACTCTTAATGCACGACGGAAAGAGTTGAGAGGCTTGTAATTCACGAGAGGGCGACCGAAGAGCGAAAGGAAGACGCGTAATTCTCTGGCTCGCGCAAATCGAGGTCTCGACTCGTAATGCGGATAAAAGTTTATCCAATGAAGATCTTTTAGAGAATCTATTGGTTTTATTCGTATCGAATCGTCCACGAGAACGCACGGGCCATTCAAGGATCTGTGATCTTTTTCTTCCTCTTCGTTCTCCCTTCTCTCTCTCTCTCTCTCTCTCTCACTCCTGCTTTTCGATTGCACTTTCGCCTCTGGCATCTTCCCTTATAGTTACCCTCCTAGTTTCGACTCGTTCCATCGTTTCCGTTTCCCTCCGGCTCCGAAACTGACCTCCCCTCTCTCTCTCTCTCTCTCTCTCTCTCTCTCTCTCTCTCTCTCTCCCTCTCTCTCTCCCTCCCTCTCTCTCTCTCTCTCTCTCGCTCTCTCTCTCTCTCTCCCTCCCTCTCTTTCTCTCTCTCTCTGTCAACCCCGCATGGGAAATCTCAAATACGAGTCTGTTTACCTGGCACTTGAAATCCCGGTGGATATCGATGATAAGATTTCGCCCCCGTCGCCCTCGCCCTACACCACTCCGCCGCGTCACGTTTCCTGCAACCCTTCCTCTTTCCCATCCCCTTCGTGGTACAATTCTCCGTTTAGATTATGCAATTTGTATCGCGCGTGTTAACTACCTTTGCGGTCCGACCGTTGCGAGTGCAATAATAGTTCTCGCCGTATCAGGTCGCGCTGGAACTTCCCTCGAGAACAACGAATTCGTTCTGGGAACGTACGACGCGGATGATTGCGACATGATTGATCTTACGTTGCATTACACGTTACGCGATGTTATTGAGAACAATTAAGACTTTCGGCATGCGGAATCATGGATTTTGTTCATCTGTTAGGTGTGTAACGAATCGAGTCAGACCGCAATGTTGTTTTATTTCAAGAAAAGCGAATTTTTCGTAAGTGGTTAGTCATTAAAAGCATCAAGTAAAATATCATAATAATAAGACGGATTAAGTCACGTCTTTAATTATTTATTTATTCTACTGATATATTCGTGTATTACTACGTTTACGCGAGCGTTACTTCTGTAGTAACTTACGATAATTCACTCGTTTACGCGGAGTAAATTATCGTAAGTTACTACAAAATCCCGTTTACGCCAAGAAATTATCGTAAGTTACTACAGAAATAACGCTCGCGTAAACGTAGTATATGTCTTACTTTCAAATGCTAAATGTGAAAAACAATCTTAAGAACAACGTGTAAAGTTCAAACGAATATAAATTAATAATAAAAAACGAATCATTCAGAAATTTTTGAACAAATTTTTAAATCTCTCATTACCGGTTGAGCTTCGCAATAATTCATATAAAACGCAGATTTTTCTCTGAATAAATCAAGACTCGGAGCACTAAAGCGATATACATTTCTCTTAGAAATAAATCGTAATGTTTTATGGCTGATGCACTTTAACCATGGTTTGTGCGCAAATTAATTTAACAGAGTGCAAGCAAAGTGAAAAACCCAGGTAGTCAGAGACTACCCAGCTGTTTTTATCGCAACGTTCAGACAAAACGCAATACACATGTGTTAGGATATTCTCTTTAATAGTTTAACTTCTCTTGTATTATTATTATTTTTTTCATATTTTTTAATGGAAATGTCAGGTGTAATAATTTTCTCTCTTTCTCTATCTTTTTCGAAATTTCTTTGATTAGATGTTGCACGCGATGCGATGATAAGCGGGTTGCATCAACCTAGGTGGAAATGTTGTTTTACAAAATCCAGTAGAGCTGAAATTTCGACTCCGGGAATATTCGTCCATGGTGCGGATGAAATTGGGATTTGTCGGATTTGTGGATGCTCCGCATTGCGCTACGGCGTTACGGATATCCGGATTTTTCAATATAGCAGGTAATCTCAATCACGTCCCCCTTTCCCCGCATTCTCTCTCTCTCTCTCTCTCTCTCCATCTTTGTCCCTTTCTCTTTTTTTTATAACATCGCGACGCACACGTCACTAACCGTATTAATTTACTCCGGAATATTTGCCATCACTGCTGTTCGAAATTTTATAATGGAACATATACCAATCTGGATATACACAACGCTCTATTTTTCTCGTCATTTGTCCGTCCTGCGATTTTTTCTCTCTGCTTCGCTCGCACTAGAATAGAGATAATATATCCAATGGAAATTCCGCACAGTTAATACTAACAATGGTCTCGTCGCTTTCCATTTGATTGGCAAAGAACATATTAAATCGATCAGGAAAACACTTCGATATTCAAGCAACGATTTGATCGCGATATTCTCACATAATCCACACACAAAAATTCAGGCTGGTAAAATCCACGATTTACTAAAAGAAACTATTAGGGGGGAGGAGGGCGCGAAATCTGTTGGCGCGACGCGATTAATTTACCTGTCTATTCAAATTATCTACTCATCTCTGCAGCGGCGGCCGTGACAATTATCGAGATGCTATATACATTCAAAGGAGGGCGTGAAAAGAGTACCGATTCGCGCGGAACATCGTGAAATTCTCTAGATTTCTCTCTCTCTTTCCCCCTTTCTTTTTATCTCGTTCTCTCTGTTTCTGTCTGTGCAAGCTCGATGGTCGAACTCGAAAAACTTGGAGGATGACCCCATTCGTCGTTGGGATCAGCGCGGAAGATACGGCCGGGCCGCGCGAAGAAAAGTTATCTCGCATCTGCGATCGCGGGAATGGAGCGCGGAACGCGCGTTTTTCTTCCTCCTTCATTCCGGGATGTCGAATGGCATAATTTAGTCGCAATTGCCGTAGTTCATAGGATGGCTGATCGTCCGACTCCGTTCGCGCGAAATCATATCGACGCGCAGCGCGCTCGGAGAGCCAAGCTATTTTTATACGTACGTATTCAGCGAGCGTAGCGAGCCTGCCCTCCCCCTCGCCGCGCTAAGCAAAGTCATTTGTGTCTCCGGTTTCGTTAGCGATGAATAATCCCCTCACATTCGATCGGTTTGACTGAAATTCTGTTTTTTTGATAGCGATACGTTTGTATTTTTTTTATGTATTTATTTTCATGATTTGTAGTCTGAAGAAATTGATGTACGTATTATACGCTAAATGTATACGTGTAACATTTAAAACTGCGGGTTGAAGTAAACAAATTTCAAATGCAAGATAATGATTAATCTCTCGTATATAAAATAACTGCTTATCGAATAAATGCATTTGCCCTATTTCTCTGGCCGATGGCACGAGAGAAGGAAGCTATAGATTTATCTACGAGTAACTTAGCGGTTGCATGATATCATAAGAGTACACGCTTCATAAACATTTCAGTTTGACTCATCGTTTTAAAAATTCCCTTCATCTTACCGAAAGATATCAAAATTTTATGTTCACTCTGGTAAATCAAATATTTCAGCCGAGTGCATTTTATATCTCGCGATACGAAATTATGCATTTAAAACGAACAAATTTTCCTTTTGATAAACAGAAAATATTTCTTATTCGTTTAGTTGCGTTTAATTTTTGAAATAACTTTCTTTGTTTCTTTTTATTATAATATGTAATAAAACATAATTCACGCTATTATGAGTCGTAAATCTTGCTACCCTATAAAATAATAGACGCATTTATCTCTTACATGTACCGTACTTTACATGCTACATCCTTGCATGCACTTCAGAGTATCGTGCCGTAAATCGTGAAAACGTTCCACAGCTGTCGACTTGTATTTCGCCGGTCACTTTCGTTAATTAACGTCAATAGATATAGAAAGTATCGATAATACCCTGTAGGCTAAGACGGCGGGGCAGCAATTCTCAGGATAGTTCACGTAGAACTTTAACGGTTATTGTCTCGAACGTACCTTCTTACGGTACCCTGGATTGTCCTGAGACCCTTCACGACCCCATCGATGCGCCTAACGACCATCGAGTTTGAAGCGACGTGAAAGCTTGTTGCTCCGTAATACGATTTGATATCGCGGACTTTTTACTCCCTCGCGTTCTTCGTTTGGCGTTCAGTAAAAATCAATGCACGGGGACATACTACATACACGTAAGCGACTGTGAGCAGAAATTTGCCAGTTTAATGCCAGGTCGTTGACATAATAATAAAAACAGTATCAGGCACAGGCCGGTTAACGAACTAATAGCCTTGCGATCACGTCACGCGAT